TCTAAGAATCGACTATGAGTGCCAGCTATAGAACTCTATTTGCCTCGTCGTGGCATGGACCAGTGACGAAAAGTGGAATCCCGCGAACGCCCTCTTCGCCTTCTCGGGCGGCTTTTTTTCTTTTTTTAGAGGAATTTGTCATTCCGCGAGCGCTCGCGCGGGGATATAAATACACGGCGGCAGGGCGGTCGTGCGTGCTTGCTTTCCTCGGAAAGCGTCCGCGCGAGGTCCGCCGAGCCGGACGCCACTCTCCGCGTCTCTTAATCCGATTTGCGCTATTTGCGAAATGTATGTACGATGGCCGATGCATCTCGCGCGTTTTCCAAGAACACCGACTTCCGGAGGAAAACTTGTCTTTCGTTTTATAATCCATCTTTCAGCGACATATCTTGCACGGTCGACGTGTGACGATGACGACGCGGCGCCTCGACTGCGGTGGAGATCTTCAAGTAAGAAATTGGACACCGTTTAGGCAACTTCTAATTGTTCGGAATATATTTCAGGACCTGCTTAACTTTCCGCACATTGCATCTTTTGTGACCCAGAAGAAAACTCATATTTCTTGGCACAAACTCCAATCTGTATTAAATAAAGGTTTCAACATTTGTGAATTAAATAACTATTGGCAATGTAACAGGAATGTTGAAAAGTAAGCCTGAATTTTTTTCTAGATTTTTTTAAACGCCTAGAACAGTAAAAAAATTTGAGCTGGATAAAAAAGATTCAGGTCTTGCTAACTTGTTTTTCATCTCTTTCCAATTCTAAAATTGGAAAGGGATAATGAATAAGTCGAACCTCGATTAAGAGTTAATCGTGAGTTGTGAAACTGGGACTCAGAGTGCCTACGGAGTAGATAAGTAAAAATATCTCTTCTCTTATGCTTAATCGATCTTATTCTATCTTAAGCAGGTCCCGAAAAATATGGTCGACACCAAACGTATGGTGTGTCCAGTTTGTTACTTGAGGATCTCTAGACCGCGGGAAGCCCCGCGACCGAATAAGTTCGATAAAATTGTATGTTCTTGATACACGCGACGGCCGTGCCTCTTATCACATCGGCTTAAGTTCACGAAAGATGTGGTATTACGTCAATTGACTCGTGGGCTTTGAAAACAGAAACGTAATACGACGTCGTCGGTCACGAAAGTGTCAATAAATTTGACGATAATAAAACTTAATTACAAGAGTACACACAGAGCCTTCCTTATAATTGTCTTATCAACGTTCTCCCTACTCGCTACCGCGTTACGTACATGCGACCGATCGTTTATGAGAATCGTTATACGATGATAAGAAATAAGTACTACAACATCGCAATTTTGCATCGCAATCGGTCTAAAAATTATTGTCGTGATCCAATAAAGAGAATAATTTGTTTTAAATAATTAATTAAGCAGAGATAATTTTTCGTTTAATTTTTTTCGCCTTTCCCCTGAGAAAGAAAAATGGTTCATTTGACTAAATTAATTTAATTCGTTTCTTTATTTCTTTCATTGAATAATGTTATGTATTTAAATCAAACTAAACAATTTTACTTCTCAGTATATTTTAAGATGTTGAAATATTTTCAAGTGTATTAAATTTAAGTACCGGTGAAATGCCCGTTCAGTTAAAGCGATTAGTCCAAGCCTTACTGAGAAAATGCCGGTAATTTTTCAAAGTTTAAAAACATCAATAATTAACTGTTAAAGCTGAAACTAGTTTTCAGTAAACGCATTATATTTTTAGATTAAAAAATCGCAACGCTTATTATACGATTCGCAGATTTCTCGCGTTCGTATTGCGACGCGATCGATCGAACGAAGCGCGAACAATACGCGAATACGAGTAGCAGACGAATCGTAATCGCGGTACGACATGATTAAAACGAAGACTCGACTCTCTATCAATTTTCTTTATTATACTGCGATTTGCCCTGCGGCTCAGCGACCGCGAACAGGGCACGGATAAAACCGATCGCGCGAGAGTAGAACGCGAGACGATGTGTGAAGTGGCGGCGATCGATTTATCGGCGTGATAAAGCCGCGCACACACGATTCCGTTCCTCGATTTCGCCTAGCTTCTGAACTCCGCAGATACGACTCCGATGTTGTTTTCGCGACGGCGGGATATCGATCGCCTCTCTTTCTTTTTCTTTTTACATGATTGCCGCTGAATTCCATCGCGAGCACGGAAAAATTGCCGCGCCGAGGCTCATTGCACGCTGAAGGTGCGCACATCGAGAAACGCGCGCGGCCGCGATCTTTTTCCCAGTACAAACCATAAATGCGAAACTCGTCAAAAGGTACTTCCTATCGGTATCAGTTCCGGACCGGTTCCACTTTGTGACATATATTCGGTGTGCCACGACATGACGGTGCACCTGTTTATCGTCGTGGGCGGAACGACCGCGATCGTAATACGGATGTTCAAGGTGCGCGGCACGAAAAAAGTGAGAAATATGTTCTGGAATAAATTTTCATTTCACGTCCCACTCTCTACAAACTCTACAAACATTTTCCATTAAGAGATTAATCTGAGTTACAACACTCTCGTTGTCATACGAATGAAATTTTTCTAATGAAAAATTAATATGGATTACATTTTTGACAAATGAATCTTCTTGATTAAGAGATTAATGTGGATTATGTGAGGAAACGATTTCTTGAAACACTTTTCAAATTTTTTTGTAGTCATATCAAATTATTGAAAAATTGATTTTCACAGAATCGTTTTTGTTTGGCGTATTTAATTTTTCTAGGAAAATTGGAGATTGAATTAAGTAATAATATAACACGATTTATATGTGAAAGTTGATTGATTTTTACAATATTGCGCGGTATGTTTTACTGTAGAATACCTGTAGAAAAAAAATATATTTTGTTTTATGTTAGCAGAAACATTTTCTTTCTTTTTGTGTGTAAAGCTATTATTATTAAGAGATAGAAAAAAACAAAGATTTGGTGTTTGAAAGAAATAACGATGAATTTTCTTGTTACACTCACGTCGATAATAACGTGTTTTAGAGTCATTTGCATGCTTGTGGAAATGTTTCCTATCGCGACGTGTTATGCAATGCACATTATGAATAATTTAGTTTGTGATTAATGATTTCGAACTTGTTTTTTTACATAAAATTCATTTACTCTTTTCGTATATTATTTTTTATCGATAGATTTTTTTAGCAAATTTGGAATGTTCTTTTTAGTGAAAATATGAACAGTTATTGTATTATTTGTTATAGCTTTATAATCTTTAGCATCATATAGATTATATATATAACTTTAATAAATAGATTATATATAACTTTAATAAATAGAAGGTTGTAGTTATAATTTTGTTATAATTGTAATTGATATAATCATAATTCCAATAAGATTCTAAATTAAAATTCCATTTTTATTTCAATATTTGAAATTAGTTGAAAAATATAAATAAAAATTTAATAAATATTTTAAAAAATTTAAAAACATTTTTTTAATTTAATAAATGTTTTTATCTCTCATTAAAACATTATTTATTTATTTATTAAATATCTATATTTAATGATTATTAATATATGATAAATAATAAATAAGTTTTAATGACGAAGATACATTTCAAAATAATTAAAATATATTTTTTTTATTTTTTAAGAATAAATTCTTTTAGATTTTAATCTATGTAAAATAATTTCTGTGAATATATTTATTTCCCTAAGAAAAAAGATTCCTTAAAATAATTCTTACGGATCAGAATAGACAATATATTCACGATCACGCACGTCTTAATTGAAAATGTATTAACTATACAGTTATTATTAAATTCTGTTATTTATTCTATAATAATATTCATGTCTATAAAAATTGCTAAAAATAAAAAATTTACTAAATCTTTATCGGAAATGTTTCGGATTTTTAAATATATGATATAACGGAGCTAAAGTAAGATGAAAATAAAAATCTGATTTCATTGCAAAGTTTTTTTTTATAAAAAAAATATGATGTTTTTTGAATTCAAAATATAAATTTAATAAATAAAAAGTATAAATATTGTTATCATTTTAAGAAGAAATATTTGAAAATGTTAAGAGATATAGGATCTTTAAGAGGTTTTATGCTGAATAATTTCTATTCTTGTCGCTGTTTTCTACAGGGATAGCAAGTATTCTTGACATTTTCAATAATATTTCAACAAAGATAGAAAATATAGAAAACAAATAATAATAGATTATATATATATATATATATATATATATAGACAGTTTATACTGATAATAGTTGTCATTTTTATTAACATAAACACAACAGATTACAGCTATCTTTCCTTGAAGCTCCACGTTTTCTGAACTCCGAATATTTTTTAAAAAATTTCGATCTTTGAAGCTTCCGGTTTTCGGAACATTGGAATACTCAATCTGTAATTATATACATATCTCGGCGAGATTTCTTATATGCAGATATTGATCGTCGCGAGACTGTGTTTACATTATCGCCGCGATACGTGATGAAATATAATAACGACTTATTAGAAGGACACCATTCTCCACGTGTCACGAATTTGCTCATGTATTTTCTTCCCCCTACATTCCTCGTGTGTTTCCTAGACCACTGGTAGTCAGTTGCGTCCTAGCTCGAATACGGTTTACAAGCAACGACTGTCTTCTCTGCTCCCGTTAATTTTTGCCAGCGTAACGAATTCAATAATTACAACATTGTTATTTCAATGTTCAGTGATCCAATTTCTAGAATATATATATATATATATATATATATATATATTAATTATATTAAATATAAAATACATCTAATTATGCGTAGGACATTGCGTGCACGTGCATATTTAACGTAGTTACATGTAAATTCGGCAAAACACACACGAGATAAAACTTGATACGCTTTTAATTAAAGTATAAAATAATGTTTCTAGTCTCATAAAGAAATATGTTAATGTATAGTTGTTTAAGTTAAAATAATAGTTATATGTAGTAATGTTATGTACGATTTTAAGATTTATTTTCATTGAATCTATTTATCTTCCAGTGACGGAAATGCAAAAATGCCTTCAATCGATACCCGATCGATAAGAGTGCCTGGAGAAATGGATCGGTGTCCATCTCACAGACGAGACGCTACGACGAGACATGCTGTATGCCGACCTATGCTGGATGTGTCCAACACATTGAAGTCGTCCCCCGTCGCTTGTCACAGTTTTGCAACATGCTGCGACGTATTTAATGCCTCTAATGACGTCCTGTTCAAAAAGAATCACGTCACAACGTTAGAAAACGAGCCCAATAGTGCGGCTCACCTGTCACAGGACACTTCATTATTTTACAATGCTCGTTCAACTGATCTGTACTTGGCGCAAAAAAAATTTACTTGTCACACTGCCACTTGTAATCATGGACGTGATACAAGTGTAATGAATCACCGAAATCGTCATAGTTCTACGCGAAAGAAGGACGCGATGAGATATTCTCATACAGCGGATCCACTCTCGATAACGAGATACATTCTCGTATTCATCAATCAAATGTTAGGATTAATAACCACCGATTGGATAACGAATTCTTCATGGAGGAGATGGCGAACTTATTTTCCTTTCTTAATTTGCCTACTTTGTGTGACGCAGTGTTCAGCTCGCACTTGCTCAGTTGGATTAAGCACACCGGGATGTAAGTTTCGTCCAAATATATGTTTGCATATAAGTACAATCAAATATACTCGTAAAACACGTTGTACTCTCAAATTTGATATTAACGATTAGTGAATTAGCTGTTTAAACTGATATTTAAATTGGGGTGCTTTTGTTTTCACCATTATACATCCATACTGCATAGGCTACATTTCATTTGCTGCTCACAGCGCTCTTGGAGTTTCATCCTTGTTGTTTATCAGAGACAAAGCGATGCTCATAAGCGCTGTGAGCGTCAAATGGAACGCACCCGTGATGCACATTTCGAGACATATGTATATTCGAATGTAAGTGTTTATAAAACAGAAATAAAGGCCGTTGTCTTCTATTTGTCTCGCATGCGTACCACTGGTGCACTAGGATTATAAATAAAACATATGTCTTATCTCTCCTTTTGGAATTCTGTCGAGCTAAATGTATATATCTATATTTAATACTCGAGCTGTACAGTTCACAACGAAATTATCAACCCCGTTGAAGTGTATTCTCATGATATATCTTTATTTTACTTTTTATAACGTTTATGATGCAAACTCGTATAGCATGTATAAATTTTGATTTAATTATTTAATTTACTTATAAAGTCTTTGCTTATATTCTCATTAATCTATGAATTTTTATAATTGGAGTATCTTGTATTCTCTATCTCAAATAACAAGACTATCATCTTATTCTTAATTCTATTTGTAGGGACTTGGCCACAAGGTGATATTGTTATTCAACATGGTAAACCACTCCAAATGTTCTGTCTGTTGAATCAGACGATCATGGAACTTGACTATCCTAATAAAGATGCGGGAGATCTTCGATTCTTTCGTAATGATCAAGAACTGGAGTCGGAATTCGTCACGGTAATTAATGAAACTACGATAGAGCTGTCCATCAAAACGCCACCGCCCTCCGACGACATGTACAATTGCAAGTTGCGAATGAAAGACAACGACTATGTAGCAGTTTGTCTCAATAAAGTTGTAGTTGGATGTAAGTAATCATACTTATTTTAATTATCTATGTATATTCCATTAAATTATCGAATCTTTAGAATCTTTAGATCTTTTGAGAACTATTAACAAAGAGACAATTTCTCGCGAAAAAATAAGTGGAAATAAACAAAATAAAATTTTTCCATACAAAATCTCATGAAATGATTTTATTCTACATTTTCGTCTTATTTTTTGTCAACTCTTCAGTTGTACTATCAATTCTGAGATATCCGATGTATGTGCTATTCTATTAAAGAAAATACTTTTTATAATCTGAAGAATTTGGGTATCAAGAAACATATACATTTTATTTTTTATAATCATCACACTATTTGAAATATATAGCTATCTACATATCCAATAGAAGTATACATTTATTCTTATCAGTATGACCCGACGATGTTTTGTGGAGACAGTACAGTGCATTGATTCTCTTTTTATTAGTTATGAGTAAATCGTTTGACATGCACATGCGTCTTAGAAATCGTTTTATCATCGACAATAAAGATAACTAGAAAACAGATACTATACAATATAATAAGAGTTAGGCAAGTCACTTCTTCTCTCGTAGAAATTTACTCATTTGAAGAATTAATAATTTAAGTTAAATTTTACAATAAATTATACATTTATATAACATATTTATATCTATTTAATAAACTTTAATTTTAATATGATACATATAAAATGTCCGCAATGTCTTAAAAACGATAGAAATTGAAATTTTTTTTTGTACCGATGTAAACTAATAGGATTGATCGTGATATATAATGTTTATAAACATAATTTCTGATATCTTTTATCAACTACTTAGCGAATATCAAAAACTATATTTGAAAATTATGTATTTTAAAAACCAATACGATTCTTTCTTGTGTGAAATGTTTTATTTTATTTTACTTGTTTTGTTTCACGACAGATCCACCTCAAAAACCCAAACATTTTGACTGTGTCTCCTATAATTGGGAAAGCTTTAATTGTACGTGGGAGCCAGAACACAATTTCGTCAGTACAAAGTACGATTTAATGTTTCAATTACCTGGAAGATTAGGCGCAATGTATTACTGTCCGCTTGCCACGATGGCAGAGAATTCATGCACGTGGGATATATATTCCGATCCAATATATAGGCAACCATATGCATTTTATATTTTCATACTGAAAATATCTAATCCTTTTGGGGAACTCAATTTTACATATCGTGTTCAACATTATCCTAATGGTATGTAAATCTTATATATAGATTATTATTTATTTCTTCGTAAAAATCTTTTGCAATGAGAAATGTACAGTTATCGAATATACTGTATACTTAATATTCAAGGATATTATTGTTTTCAGTTATTCCGGCTAAACCTCACAACCTGACCTTAATAAACAAAACATCGGAAAGTGCACTGTTGCATTGGGAACTTCCCTTCCCGATGGCAACATTTCCAGTTGGTGTTCATCACAAAATTATGTATCAACATCAATGGGATCATGAGAAAGATTGGAAGGTATAATCGTATTGATTCAAGTAATTTTTTACTTTATTAGATAATTTGTTGATATCGCAATTGAAAGAGTTATCAGTTCTGTGATAAATAAAATAACAATCTTGATCAAACTTATTTTCCCTTTGTCTGTAGGTTATCAATATTACGCATCCTAAGAATAGAGAGCAATGGCTTTACAATCTTACCGGATTAGAATACGCTAATACAGTATATGATGTTCGCATTTATTTAAAAAGTTCGACAGCTGTAAGACCGGATCGATGGAGTGAATTTAGTGTTGTTACATTCAGGACGTCACCAAAATGTAAGTAAATTTCTGAATTATGAAGAGAATCTGTTGCTTATTTTTTATTATTTATTTGATTAATACTATAATTGAAATAATGACGTATTGCAAATTTGTGTGTGGCTATAACTAATTAACAGATAATATCTATCTGTTTCTATTAAATTTTCTCTGATTTAACTTTAGTGCCTAGTGCTGCACCGCGAACTGACATCGGTAGTTTCGAAATTACTGAAAATAATGGAAACAGGGACGTATACTTGTACTGGCAAGCGATACCGCAAAACCAAGAAAACGGCAATAATTTTAAGTATCAAATCATTCACGTGGAGGAAAATGGCCAAAAAGTTGCGCTTACACCAAGTGAAACGACTAGGACATATGCCAAATTGAAGGGAATCGCTCTCAACAGTTACCTATTCGAGATCATCTCAACGAACGAGGTCGGAGCTAACAACAGCCGTGCGAGAATATACGTACCAAATCAGAAAGAAAGTAAGTATATTAAGAAGATAAATGTGTCAAGGAAGGACAGAAAGATTCAAGTATACCTAACAATTTGATACATTATTTGTTCTTAGTTCCACATGAACCAATAGCGTTCACGAAAATCGCTTTCGAAAATGGATTGTATGAATTGTCTTGGAAGCCACCGTTCGAAGATCATAACATCAAGAATTACACGATCTTTTGGTGCGACAACGAGCGTGATCGTCCTTATCAGTGTACCGTACGTATCAATACTTTCTTTCACATTATTCGAAGAATATTTTTTTCACATAACAAATAAAAGTGTATTTCACATAAAAGTTTGAACACAGCGTTAAAATGATATGTTTGCAGGGTTACTTGGACTGGGTGCATGTTCCTAAAAATACTATGATCTACAACATAACTGTACCGAATCCGTCCAAGGTATATCAATTTGCAATCTCCGTCAATACTGAGAGAGGTAGCAGCGGCATGATATGGTCGTCATGCACGGTAATTCATAATAAGGTACTCGGAAAAATGAAGTCTGTTTGGATTAATCGCATTGGATCGCACTTTATCGAAGTTGGTTGGAAGCTTGATTGCTCGGATCGCATCGGGATAATTGAAGGATTCAACATTTACTACTGTCCCATAGTATCACCAATGAATGTCAACTGTAACGGTCCTATGTTTAATAGTACCATCAAGGCGGACGCACATACGATACATGGTGTTGTCGATAATCTGAAGCCCTACACTACGTACATGCTGAGTGTCGCGGTGTTAACGAAGAGCGGTGAGGGTCTGCGTAGCGATCCCCTGTATAATACCACGCTGGAAGCTGCGCCCAGCACACCACCGTTAAATGTTAGAATCACTGACTTGTCTAACACGACGATGTTTGTCGCATGGAAAAAGCCGTCGGCAATGAACGGTGTGCTCAGATATTATGAAGTCTACTACAATGATCAAGTCATTAGAGTGGATGATAAAGATCACATTAAACTGACGAGTTTGAAGCCGTATACGAGATATTTTATTAGAGTCTCCGCTTGTACCGTCCAGTGCAGTGAAAAGTCATCGATGATAGATGAGTCTACAAAGATCGGCGTGCCTGGCAAAATCAATATTCCTTTAGTACGCTTTGTAAACTCCAGCCAAGTAATCATTCAGTGGGAGCCACCGCAAGAACCAGCCGGTCCATTAGTGCACATGTATTACGAAATAGAATACGGAAATGGCATGATCCAGAATGTCACGAGAACAGGTGAGACTGTCTTTAATGACACAAAATTGAATTTCTTTCCTTTAATAGAATTTGAGAGAATTTCTGACAAAGTTAAATTAAATATACTATAATAAGAGAAATATTCTTTTCAAATGTAATTCGATTCATTTCTTGAATTATTCTATTTTTTTATTTTATTCATTTCCATTTGAATGATATAGTGATAAATGTAAAATAGTGATAGTTGTGTGAAATGAGAAGTGAAAAGAGAGAGGGTAGAAAAATGAAGATTATAGAACGAATAATACGAAAGCTTAATTTTAATACTATTTGTTCATATTGCAGAAGTGCAATTGCCCATTCCCGACTGCAAGAACGTCGAGCATCGAGAGCAGAAGCACAGGTTCCGGGTTAGGGCTGTTAACACCAATCTTAACGGCGATCTTTTGAAAGGATGCTGGTCCGATTTTGGAGAGGGAAATTGTTATAATAATGGTATTATGATTTATTATCGGTATTACAGAAAGCTAACATATTACGGCTAATTTTATTTTCAATGGACACGTTTGCTTTCTTATAAAATTTATTATGATTTACATATACATTCATGGCATACTAATATTTGTAAGTATAAATGACGATATTTAAATATTGAAAACACTTATTGTTGAACTTTTAATATCTTTTTATAATGAGAAAAGTGGTAATGATGACTACAGTTTTTTTTTTTTTAGATATAAATTACATAACCGGTTTATACAACTCACAAGATCAAGCCGAGCTCTTTCTTCATCTGTTTCTTATTGTTTCAGAAAACATGTTTCCTATAATCTTCAGTATAGTATTAATTTTTTTCCATTATTGTGCGATTTCCTTCACTTTGATTCGACAAATGCAATAGTGTCACACATATACATTTGACGCGGATATTATTAAGCAACTCATTCTGATTAGCGAATGTATATTTCTCATGCAACAGGTTTATCATCCGTCGCACTGGTTGTTATATGGATAGTTGGCGTCGTTAGCTTCGTAGCATGCATCGTGTGCTTCGTGTACATGTTTAAGAGGTAAAGACACTTCTATTTTTCAGCTATTCTCTATGCAAACATAATCATTTACATAAAACTTTCCACAAGAAAAGAATTTCCATTTACAACTATTCTAGTTGTATTCTTCAACACGCTTTGTGTTACTTTTCTTACAGAATGTGGATAAAATGTCGAGCTATGCGAGATGTCGAAGTAAAATTACCGCCTGGACTTGCTCCACCAGATGCTCCAGATACGGTGAGATACCTCTATTTCATGTATCTTTTTTACAATTTGCGGTTATTTATTGAAGCAAATATAACACAACTACAAAAATACAGTACGCTAACATAAGCTCTATTTTGTTTGCGCAGCAACCACTTAAGAAGAGCGAACCACACATACGGCAACCGTCCGCCGATTCGAGCGGTTGTTCGAGCGGCCAAGAGTCCGTTACATCATCACTTACGGCGGAATCCCAGGTTTGTAGCGATAGTGGCACTGAGGTGGATGCAATGCATACGCCGCCCGACAAACTGAAAAGTCAACCTGTCCGCGAATTGACACATCTGCGACAAAGAAGTACTACACGTGTTCCGGCCTCATTATTATCAGACGTCACGCCCTGCTGGGAATCATATGTCAAAGTTGGCAATTCCGGTGAGCCGACTTCTGAAGAGACTATATCGTTAGCGCGGTCCACGCCTAATTTAACAGATAACACGATGTCAAAGAGTTACTCGCCATCGCAACACGCCTGGTCTAGCGCAAACTACATTAGCATGCCGTCCTCTTCAGAGATGTTATTGAGCAATCCGAGTCTTATACCACGGAAGAACACCAATAGCGACGATGACGACAGTAGCAAAGACAGTGACGACAACAATGACGGTAATCATGGCAGCGATAGCAACAATGATAGCGGCGACGACAGTGGTGATGCTTTGATATCGATCAAATTTGAAGATGAATTTGAAAAGGAGAAGCAGAAGCAAACTATCGACGAACTGGACAAAATGCGGTCGATCATCGAGTTGAACAAGAAGCTTTTGGCATCTCATATTAATCCCGAGAAGACGACGATGGCGACGCCATACGTTCAAGCAGGTCTAATAGACGAAATACCAGAATCGCCTTCTAGTATACCTAAACATATACAAGCCAGGAACAGTAATTTGATGTGTGGCACCTTCAAAGTCAAAGATAATCAGAATTTGTGCAAGAAAGAGTATATGTCATTTCCGCCTACCTTTCCCGCCAATACCGGCTTGACTTTAGCGAGTCCAAAATATATCTTTGCATCGATAATTCCTGAGGGGATGCCGGTTATAGAAGCGGATCAAGAATCTTTACAGCAAAAAACGTTCCACGACCCGCACAGTTCTACAACGAGCGGAACTTCGTACAATCTTATGACCTCCGCGCACGAAATACAGCCGCAGGAGCAACAAGAGAAAGTGGCGGAGTCACTCGCGAACGTGACGGAGGACGTCGATGAAGGTAACAATAAAGACAACATTGTGTATCCCACTCCGTCCTGGCAGACGACAGAGGGAAAAGACTTGAACTCTAGTTATATCACTATCGCGAATTTGTCACCTCCCTCAGCAGGACCGTCGTATGTGCGACTCGAGAAGATGCCACCGTCACTGCCGCAGGCAGCGACAAGTCAGTCGGACGAGCAGTACGCAGAGGTGACGGTTGTGCCAAGTACAGTTCAGTGAGGTGAGGAGAGAGATGCACCATCATCTCGTTTTTCTCCTCTTTTTCGCGATGGTGTTCATTGCCACCTTCGTAGACGGACAAAGTAAGTGCTACACTGTAAGATTGTGGTATATACAGCGGTGCATGCAAGAAACTGAGATGTTATACGTTGAATGTAATTGCGACATTCACACGTGAATCGACTGAACTGGGCAGCGATCTTTTACAACCTGGGGAAAGGGGGGAATAAAGTTCGCTTATTAAAATACAAAGAGATTTAAGAGACTTTTCTCATGAAAAGGAATATTTCATACTTGCTTCGAAAATAAGACTGGGTTTGAGCAAAAAGGAAGATCATTGGCTTGAGGTAAAATAAATCGTTGGAGAGAGAGAAATTCACTTCTTATTAAAAGAGCTCTTCAGTGAGTTCTTACGTTTAAAGACGCTTCCTTAAATGACTATTACTGAGAAAAAGTTTTATGCATATAGCATCTGTACAAAAAATAATAGAATATACAGGAAGCGACTCGCAGAGTCTTTAAGGAAATTTCTTAAGGAGACATCTTTTATTTCTCCGCCCAAGCTGATGTCTTCTTGTTTGATTATGCTATATCTGATGCGATATGCATATGTATGCGGCATGATACGTTCGAGCGACGAGAATATCAGATTGACGTTCTCGTTCACCAAAGTATGTACCAGTACTGCGTTACTTTTTTTATATTATATGCGTAATTTCGACGCGATTAGTTAAAATAAGTTAAAATAAGTAAATAGATTATACAAATATGTTACATATATGTATAACGGGCATATATATGTATACATATATATGGTCAGATTGACGGACAGCCTATTGCTGTCGAAAAATAATTAAATTAAGTCCACTTCAGACGATCTATGATACAGAATCAGGCGCAATGTACGAAGGGAATAGGGCTTCTCCCCTCCGAGGAATCTGATACTTTAGGAAATTCGCACTTCCATTTTGCGCGTTTGTTTAACAAATTAATGATGTTTTCGAATGATTTATGATCGCGCGCGATACGTTTTGTTACAATCGTTACAAAGTTCCAAGAAAAGTACGTTATTCTTCCTTTTTTTGCGGAAAAGCAAATCTATATGTACAGCAGGTAAGAAAGAGTGGTAAATGAAATTTTTGTACAAAGTGATTATTTCTTGGAATTTTCAATCGTATCTCTCAATAGATATAATTGGATGTAATAACGAAATGAGAGAGAGAGATTTAACCGAATTATGACTATTGTGAGTCTAATCGAAATTTTTTTTTAAATTTAATATATAATCTCATTTTTTCCCAAAAGATGTAGAGCATAAGTAGAATTTACACAGATAAATTGTTTCAAAATATACACCTTATACAATTTCCTCTTCTACGCTCCTGTATCCGTCAAAATTAAATATAGCGTTATATTTATAATGTTATATAATGTAATATGAAAATATTGGAGAATCACAATGTACATACTAAGAAAAAGATAAAAAAAAACATGAACATACCTAGATACAATGAAATATACGGCAAAATATTATATATGGAACGCGCCAGATTTTTACTCTACATTATAGATCGTCTATAGCTGGTTTTAGTTAGGCATTTTTTCACAGCACAATTTTTCGCTAAATTCTCGTTTAATTGTGAGAAAAATTTTTTTGCCATTTTTGCAGGGGTAAGCAAACTTTTTTAGAGCTACATTTTCTAGATTATTTCTTTATTAATGACACAGAGATATCCTAATTTAATCCTTAGTTAATCGCTTGATTCAACTGATGTAACACAGACTATGAATTCACATTTTTTTATTATATTACTGAATTAGAAATTAATTAAATTAGAGAGGTTTTAAATGACGCTACTCTGGTGTAACACCAAGTAATAGAAAAGAAAAAAAAAAGAAAAAAAATATCATAAACGTACAATTTTTAATTCACGCAGCACACGATTAATTAAGGATTAACGTCGTCTCAGAATGAAAATTCTCGAACGCGCTATTGCGATTATATCGTGTGGAAAGCAAGTGCATACAGATATTCTTCCGAACGATTTTCTCGACGATTTCATCAACGAAAATTTCGCGATCGCAAACATTTCTATTCATCTATGCGCGAAGATTGCTCAAAGAGAGATGAAAGTGACGTACTTGACGAAATTGCTGCGTACAGTTAGAGACAACGAGAAGACGCAAGTTGCGTAGATTTTCTATTTTTCTAATTGTGACTGTTTTGCGAATCCGTCGAAACTTCTTTTTAGCTGCACTTGCACACTTGCGAAAGTTGAGCCGTGCAATTTGTTATTCGTTCACGTAGTTTATTTGATATTTCATTATCACACATATCGATCGCGAATAAAATTGTACGTAGCAAGGTAACGGGCTCTTTTATAATAGCATTACAGTACAATATATAGTAACCGCACACGAGGACAGGGTCAGGGATAATAAAGTAAGATGAGATAAAAAAAACACATGGTGAGCGCACCATGGGTGTCACCAAGTAGCTGGCGAGAAAAAAAAACAGTTCTGAAGTCTCGAACTAGGATGGAAAATTGACTGTGTCATTAACGTATCATGAGGCCTGTTAATATCGTTATGTAAGATAGTCAACGTTGTATTTCATATCTCCGGTTTTAAAACAAAGTAATCGGAGAAAAGGCGCTTTTTTTCGCACTTCGTCACGTTTTCCAATGATGAGATCTTGCTCGACTACGAGAAATCCGTGTAGAGGTGCCTATGCGTCACAATTATCCCGGATCGTGCGCTTTAATTACGTGTAGGTCAGAAGACAATTAAAGTACCTCGCGCAGTATAGAGTTAATTGTGAGTAATGCGCAAGTGACAATTGGCCTCGCAGAACACTCTCACGCTATCACAGCAGCAAGAATATATGTATGCATAATATGCACGTATTTTAAACTAGTCAGATACACCGCCTTCTTCCTACAGGCCTTTCTTTTATACTTTATCGTAATGTTCATCGGATTATTGTACAAAATTTAATAAGTAAAAAAGAACTAACGTATTGGTAAATTGTTAGTATTTTTTCTTATATGAATTTTGTACTATTTAAAAAAAAAACGATTGAACTTTCAATGGGTAGATAGGATATTTCTTTTGATTCGAACTTTTTATGATAACGTTTTATTAATATATCTTCATTGAATGCAAAACGGTTGTTACAAAAAAGCAACTTGAAAAGAAAGAACTTTATTGAAGAATCGATGGCCTATTGTTGATACAAAGTATGATTGCGAAGGATTAATTGTGTGGTTCCAAACTACAAATTTTAATAAGAGATAAAAATTTAGATGCAACTATAGATTTAATTAAGAACTAAATAATTCAATTATCACTGAAGTTACATCAGTAAGATAGCTATTTAAGAAAAATTGTAATATTTCGAATTATAATACAAAAAGAAAGGCCTGAATCTTTATAGAACGCGGTTATTTTGCAAGTTCAAACAATTTCAAGCGAGGAAAAGGAAAATCTATTGTTATTACGACTGTGAGATATTAAAAAAAAGGAAAATGATTTTGTTTGTACTTGCGAAATGATACTTACCGGCTTGCGCGATTGGACATTCGCGAAGCTCTCAGATTGAAAACGAGCTTATGTACCTCGTACGTCTATTGTTGTTACAATACATACCAACGTAATTTTATCAGATATTAAAGAAGTGCTACTTAGTCTATAATTAAGTCTGTGTAAACTTAAGGATTACGTCGTCACGATGTTATGCAAATGCACGGTGCGTAGATCTGTTTGTTTTAGCTGCACTTATAGTTTCCGCGTCCAAAATGAAATAGTTATAAATATATTTATACATACAATCATATATATAAATTTTCCAAAAGATCCTATAAAAAAGCTGCAGAATTTGTTAAAAAAAAAAAGAAAAAATATGGTACTGCTTGCTTTTTCATAGAGTATCTTTTTGGAGGGCCATTTCAAGATCAATTTAATATCTGTAAGTAAAAATTATGAGATTGATTTAATCTTTTTAAGTAAAAATTTATATATTTTTTACTGATGCGGATACATTTTAAATCACCAATTTTTATTCGAGATACTTTCGGACTTGACAAATATTTTAAAGGGTATTTGTGAAAAATTATTGCGAATCCTTCAAATGTTGATTAAAGCAATCACTCTTGGAATTTTTTAGAATCAATATATGAACGTAATACGCACACTACATTGTGTATACATTGTATATACATATATATATGTTTTATGAAATTGAAAATTGATGAAAAATATAGTCAATACTACACATAAGATTAGCTAATGCTTAGAAATTTCTAAAAGTATTCTATTAGCGATACTTGAAAATTCTGAGTGTCGTATAAGAGGTTAATTAAAGAAATTTTGTACATTTATTTTACAGCATACATGTACATAAAGATAGAGGGGGTTTAGAATAGTTATGAATATTCTGACGAACCACAGGGTCCCCGATGTATCTCTGCGACACGCAAGCACACGCATACGTACAGAAAAGCAGAATTTAAATTAATTAAAAATAACGAATTATAAGGTCCTAATCCATGCCTATAATATACACTAGAGATCCTATAACAAAGTCTGGCTGAGAAATTTTTTCAAAATAAAAGCGAAAAAGAAGGATATTATACATAAAGGGTATATAATATCTCATTCTAACTTACTGAAGTTGACAAAAACGATAGACCAATCAGAAGTTTCTCGTAACTCATCCAGTGACCAGATTTTGTTGATAGGATCTCTACTAGCGTTTTCGAGTGCAATGGGTTTGAACCAACTTAGGTTAACTCGAAAGTACCATTGACCTCGTTCAATCAGAAATCAAAGTAAAGCATATGACGTCATTAATCTGACCCGGATTGGGTCATTTCGAACCCATTGCATTAAAAAATTTTATGATACACAGCACACAGAATCGTTTCCTTTGTTGATTATAGATAACGCCAAGAGTGAGTGACTTTTATCATCAATTTTAATTTAAGGATTTACAATAATCCTTTGTGAACATCTAATTTCAATCAAAATTGTTGGGTTTGATGTGAAGAATCTGACTCGGTTAAAAAATACACCGGTTTTGATTTAGAAAGATTAAACTGACCTAAAAACAATTTTCAAAAAATCATTCTATTAAGAATCCAGTTATATAAATAAATTTTTTCTTAAAAACTTTTTAACTTTAAATTTAAAACAAATTTTTAAATAAAAAATTTCAGCTGGCTTTGTTTGGTCAATTATCAAATTTCGTACATAAAATAAGAATCATATATGTATATATGATTTAAATTTAGTGCATGGTTTATTGCATATTATCGTAAGTTTGAAAGTAGCTAAATTATGTTGTTTTAATGAAATATGAAAAAGAGAGACAAGCAAAAAAGCATAAAGCAGTAACAAAGTAAAAAGTGCAATTAAAACGAGTTGATCTAATTTTATACTCGAGATCCATATGACCTATGTTACGTGAAATATATACATGTCATATGTGTATGATACATTATGTATCCTAAAACACGTAAATAATTCGCGTACTTTAATAGTATATCGAATATGGTTTAAAATCGTCAAACAAGGGAATGCCTAAGATTTTTAACGAAATGACAGTACATTTTATACAGTAATATCAAGGAAATGCCTGAGCGAATACATACATGTCGATTAAATCTTGCTCACGTCGAGATATAATGAAGTATTTTGATGCGACGAAAAGCTTTGTACATTAGTTTAACAACCGCGCATTACCTATCTACTTTGTTAGGTTTTACATATCTATCATTGTACATAAACGCATATAAATGTATACACAAATACGTATAGATATATAAATAGATATATATACACTTATATACATATACATATATCTATTATTATCTATTTTTGTTACGTGTTTATAAATGAGGAGAACGTATTCTGTCGCGGAATACCAAATGTAACATATAGAACGAGATTTTAGCGAATGGATAATGGATTAAGCATCGCATAAAGACTACCGTCGGTTTTACGTATAATTTAGAACATTTAATGTATTTGTGTCGTTAAACTTTGCTAATAAGTTGACAAAATCGAGATCATATATATGAGTTATGTTTAAGTTCTTTTTTTGTTTTTTTTTTTATGTAATCGAATGATTGTATAATTTAGTTGAACAGTGCATAGTTTTTAAGATGCTTAACATTTACTATTTCACCGGGTAATGAAGAAAAAAAAGAGGAGAAGGAAAAGCTGTATAGATTAGGATAATTAGTTTTTACAACGAGCATGACAAAATTATATGACAAAATTGTTATAACGAGCTTGTGCTCGTTGAAGCAGTAAATGTTGATCGTTTTGCTTTTCTCTTCTTTTTTTTAAATTTCAATGATCCACGAATTTATTCTTGTTCATAAAAATCGGCGGAATGAATGGTGATGAAGTTTTACGCTTGTAACGAGGTGACTTGTAGTGCAATGACTTAATGAAATTTGATTAATTTGTGTATATATATTACAAGATTCGTAATTTTTTTACATATACTACATTTCTGCCTATATACACGTCACACCGTCAATTACAAAACACAGGAGTTACTACTTACACAACGACGTGATATATATACACGATTTTTTAACGGATTTCTCTTTATCTTTAGTATTCTGTTTTAGAGTGACATGGTTTGTTGTCGAATTAGTTTATCGAGTCGTTGGTGTAATTTGCCAGCATCATTGTTAAATGTTATTTCACATGTATTATTGCAAGTGCAATTCGTTGTACCATTATAAAAACACGTATGCATACACAACCGATACACTATTTCACTTAATAGCACTGTTGATTATGTACGTCGATTGAATTTTTATTGTCCTGAAGGAAGATTTTGTACAGAACATTGTAAAATATATTTTAACGCTTTTCTTCTCTCTTTCTCTCTCTCTCCTTTCTCTTTTTTCTTTCTTTCTCTCCTGGTTTTATTTATGTGCGCGCGCAAATCTCTCGCTTCTGCCGTATCTTATATAAATACGCCGTACTATTGTTACTATTGTAATGCCATTGCGTAAATGCCATGCCGTCGAGCCTTGCCATTCGTCATCCGGAGAGAGGAGAGAGCCCCCAAAGCTGATTTATCTTTTACTTTTCTCAATACTCACACGTGGATCACGCCGTGGACACGAGAAGAAAAATCTTTTCTGTAACTAACAACGACGTTGCCGATATACGCCGGAGAGAAAAGCCATTAGTTTGTAATCATTAAGCTGAAATATATATAACATTTATATCGAGCTGTGTGATATGTGCATCCCCTCCCGAATTTTGTATCTTATGTGAAAAGACGTCGCCAAATTGTGATATTTTTATATGAATTAACACGGAAATAGTCACTCCTAATTATTTTGCATAAACTATTATCTGATGTAATTTAATTACAATATTATATATTATTAATTATGTCACAATTTATATACATATCTATATATATCGAATGAAAAATAATATGTATATATTACTATTTATATATAGCTTTATTTAACATTTTCTAATAAAAAGAGAGAACAAATATAAAAAAAAAGATAGGCATGAATTCACGGTTAATAAAAAAAGTATTGCGACTAAGCTTTATTTTTTCGCTGTTGAGACATAAAAATCAGGTGACTATTCCTGGGTTAAGAGCAACGGTGAGCACCTTTTTGAAGAGGAAAGAGTTCGAAGAAGTCTCAGTTGACACGACGCATTCTTTATTTATGGTTCTCACAGGATGCTAAGAGTCTCTATACAGAACTCGCTGAGACCCAACATTGCGGTGTATTTCACTTTTTTATTCGCATCATACCGACATCCGATCTCAATATCTGCTTGCAAAATGGAGGAACGTCGTTACGGAACGTAAGTTCTCCACATATACGACCGTGCAAATAGCACGTTGCATTCACATTTAATTCCATTCACCGTTCGACGTATAATACGGATATGCTAAGATTGGCTCATGTTTGCATATTCGATTATATTATGTTGATCCTCGATCATACTTGCAAATTCATTTCATCCACTTATTGATCTAATAATAGACTGCTCTACAGGATGTATCAATCACCCTGATCTAATTAGTTTAATGACCGGCGATATACTTTATCGTCATGTGTCGAGCGCGATCAGTTTCTTGGAATATCAGAATGGCTGACGTTGCTCTCCTTGACTTAAGAAGATGAGTTACGCGAAACTGTCAAGTATTGTCTCCGTTTGTTTATTGAGGACGCGTCTCGTCTAAGTGTATTCTTCCAAGTTCGATTTTTGTATCGAAAGACTACTCCGTCTCTCTTTGCTTGCTTAAACTTTTACTTAATTGTCTTGAAAAGAAAGATAAATTTACACAAACAGAGATACCTCAAGCCATAATTTGATAAGATAATGTATACATATTATATATATTTTTTT